ATATATATATATATATATATATTGCAATTGTCACAAGGACTACCCTTTCACATGTCTCAGACGGAGTGTTCATCTGAGCGCAGTGTGTGTGTGTGTGTGTGTGTGTGTGTGTGCGCGCGCGCTGCAGGTGTGGTAAGGGCCCCCTATGTCGCTGACTGAGCGCAATATGTGAGTGTGTGTGTGTGTGTGTGTGCGGTGCAGGTGTCGTGGGTGCGGCGCAGGGGCGAGGAGCTGCAGCTGCTGACGGTGGGCGTGCAGACGTACAGCACCGACGAGCGCTACCGCCTCAGCTACTCCGCGCCCAACGACTGGCGCCTGCACATCGCCTACGCCAACGAGCGCGACGCCGGCGCCTACGAGTGCCAGGTGTCGTCGCACCCGCCGCTCGTGCACCACGTGCTGCTCAGCGTCGTCGGTCAGTCCCTCCCACGCACTCGACGCCCACTCGCACGGAAACATAAGCAGCACTGCGTGATCCGGGCTGGCCGGACGACGTTTCGACCATCTTGTCGTGGTCTTCCTCAGGGCTGGTATGCGAGGAAGACCACGACAAGATGGTCGAAACGTCGGCAACACAGCCTTCGACGCGGCGTCACCCGGACAGCCCAGATCACGCACACGACTGGCCGCGGAAGCCTACGACTTCATAAGTAGGACCACGTCCATAAGCGGACTCATTCACAATGCGTTCGAATAAGCATAACACGTAAGACGTTAACTTACAAACCTGCAAGCTTCAAGCTTCTATGCTAAGCTTATGTAAGACATAAGAAATGAACAATCACAGTACGGTAACTCAAAATCGAGAATCGAAATTAGAGCGAAGTCGATAGAAGAACTAACGCCATGTGGGCCATGGACCCATACCTGCAAATCGATTAACACTTCCAAACAATAATAAACCACAATGTCTCACAGCGAATAGAAACTCTTATTTGGCTAACATTTATTTTAGACATTGTGAATACTTGAGTCTATCACTTATGTTAATATGTATGTCTTTGCGGTATGCTTATGTTTATGTTTGCATTGTGAATCGGTCTTAACAACATCATTAGTTACGTGAGTCTAGTGCGTGCTTATACGAATCGCGGTAGGCGGCCGTGGTCTTCCAAGCAGGATGGCGAGATCCGGCGCCGACCTACACGGCGGCTAGCGGGGTTTCCCCGACTAGGTATCTCCCACCATAAAGGCACCGCTCCAGCCGGAACAAGCTCTAAGGTCCCGTCTGGTCTCACGGGGTCTCTCTGATGTGCAGAACATGTAAATGTAAGTGCTAAAAAGGAGTGAGTATATAAGAAGGAAGAGAAAGCAATGATCGCGCGCGGTTCGTGGGTCAGTTGTTAGAGCACTGCTTCGGCATTCGCCTGGCGTAGGTCCGCTCTAGACACGCTCTAAGCTCCCTTAATTGATGTCGGAGCGGGGCCTCTACCCGGAATGTCCTAGGGTTCGAGGACCGGCGGTGGCAGGATTTTCGACATAGCTACATAGCCAGGTTGAATTCAGCCGCTCTCTGAAGGAGAACTCTAGCGGCCGCCTGCTCTGATCGGTAGTTTTACGTGGTTTCTCCTATCAACACCAGGCGAATGCCCGAGCAGTACGCTAACAGACGAGCGACAGACCGCGCGCGATCTTTCCTTCCTCTTACTTATTATACTTATGTCCCTTACTTACGCACACTTACACTCTCACGCTCTGCTCTACCACACTTGCCGGGTGACCAGTTGAATCCTTGTAGCTTGTCCCAGCTAGTGGGAGATACCTAGATGGGGAAATACCCCTAACGTATAGGTCTGGCATCAGATCACGTTATCCAGCAAGGAAAGATCACCACGACCTCCCGCAATTAAAACATGCACTCCACTTACGATCATTAAATGATCTTAGTGGTGGTCGCGCCCGGACTCACTAATCAATGAATAAAAAAATAAAGAAAGCGCCGAATGGTAGAAGGGTTGTGTGCTGCGCAGTGCCGCGCGTGGAGATCACCGGGGAGCGCGGCGAGGCGGTGCAGGACAAGTTCTACAAGGCGGGCTCCACCATCGAGCTCAAGTGCGTGGTGAGCCAGGTGCCGCACCCGTCCGCCTACGTCACGTGGAGGCACGGCCAGCGCATGCTCAACTACGACACCTCGCGCGGGGGCATCAGGTCAGCCTCCCCCCTACCCGCACCGCATGCCTTGGCCAGCCGCGCGGCAGAACGCCCGCCAAGGAGAATGACGTTCCAGCGGAAGGGAATGCAAGCAACTGAAAATTATAGCTAGGGAGCGAATTTTATTGTTCTAAAACTCGTTGAAAATGACCAATAAAATGCCCTTAAAAAGTTTTTAAATGACATAAAAGCAAAGAAAAATTACATAAAAATTGATCAAATCCAATTCAGATTATTATATTTCACTGATTTGGGGGAAATTATGTTTTGTTAATTTTATTGGTTTTTAACTAATTTTAATAAATTAAATTCCAATAAACGTCACTACATGTATTAGAGCAAATATTAAATTTTATTTTCATCAAAATACACACATTTCTAAAATTTTCCAAAAAGGCTGTTGTTAAAAGGAATATCTGGCCTGGTGCATCCAATTGAAGAGTCCCAACAATAACATTAGCAGCATTGCGACCTCGTCACTCGAAGTGAAAATTGGCTTGGAAACTTTTTGGTTTGGACTGTTTTTTACCAGGATATTTCTGTCTTTGGATATCGCGAAATCGGCCGAACCGACAATGGCGCTGATAGGCGTTATAAGAAGCTTAGATTACTTACGATTACTGACTTCTGACTTAACAATTTCTGAGCGAAGAAATGGAATACGCCACTCAGGTACTCTGTGGAGAACATTTATTGCGTCCCAAAAATATTATTTGAAGCAAGTACCATTGAAATGATGTTAAAATCTATAAAATTAACTAAAAATGATTTAAAAATGACTGAAAATGTAAAAAATGACTCTTTAGTCGAAATCTACGAAAATGAAAAAACTGTCATAAAAATGGATAATTTTCTTTTATTATAATATAAAATGAATATCTATACTAAAAGAAATTGTTCTAAGGAGGTAAAAAATGACATTAATTATAACCATCGTTACTCACTTTTTTAGTAAAAACAATTAATGTGGAATTAAGAGAGTAATTAAGAGGATTAACTTATTGCACCCCCTCTTAGTACGTGGTCTGTAAGCCCTTTCAGTGTGAAGCAGGGGGCCACCCTGGGGAGTTGAGAGCGCGCTGCAGAGCCGCCCTCAGGGGGGGGGGGCAGGAGCGCTTCGTGTGGCGTGGCGTGGCGAGGCGTGGCGAGCGTGTACTTGTGGTGTGCGCAGCGTCAAGACGGACATCCACCCGGGCGGCGCCACCAGCCGCCTCTTCATCGCCAACGCGCGCCGCCAGGACTCGGGCAACTACACGTGCGGGCTGGCCGACGTGGCCGCCACCGCCGTCATGGTGCACGTGCTCAACGGTAAGCGCCGCCGACACCACCACCCTCTCCTCGCCCCTCACACTCGCATACAGTACCCTACCGCACATGCCGGGAGACTAGGGGAGCAGTGTTGCCATATCGGCGGAATTCCCGCCGTTTTCAGCGGATTTTGAACTCGTACGGCGGAGAGAAAAAATTAGTTTCGCGGACAGCGGAATAAACGGCGGAAATTAATAAAGACGGTGAAAAATAAGCGGAATTTCAAATCTTCTCTATAAAGGTCTGGACATATATAGAGTGTTCGAGCAGAAACATTTTAAAATAATAATAAAAGACAGGTAATTCAGTCTACATAAGTGCGTCCTTTATTATTATTTACTAGGCTTTCCGGGTGACGCCGCGTCCATGGCGAAGGTGCCGACGTTTCGGTCGCCATTCTGCGACCTTCCTCAGGGCGTAATGCCATTTTGTATTTATTATTTACTATATTAGCCAATAAAGCATTAAAATATCACTGACATAACTACAAAGGCCTAGTAAGTCGTCTGACAGACGCAGGTCGCAGAATGACAACCGAAACGTCGGCACCTTCGCCATGGACGCGGCGTCACCCGGACAGCCTAGTAAATACTGACTCCGGCTGCGAAAGCCTACGCTCTCCTTTATTATTACTATTATTATTATTATTATTATTATTATTATTATTATTTTAAAATATTGGTGCTCGAATACGCCAATAACGACGGCTATGACCAAGAATAAGCAATTGTCCTTATCTATTTCATGCATTCATAAGCATATGTCCTTTTCTATCATTATTTTCTATCATTTTTGTTAATAAAATAAATTAATGCAACATTTAAATATGGAAAAAGAATTTATTTTACGTTTAGCGGATTTAGGCGGGAAATTTAAAACCAGTTCAGCGAATTTTCGGCGGAAACTGAAACGAACATGGCGGAATTCCTCTGAACACATCTGGTAACACTGTAGTCGAGAGCTTAGACCGGGAGAGCTGGCTCAGGGCATCAGCTAATGTCAGTGCAGTGCCTCTGACCAGGAGGTCCCTAAGGAGCGAGTCCCACCGGTGGCAGGATTTTCGATTCCCGCTTGTCAGCTAGGTCGAATTTAGTCACTGTTTAGAGGAGAATTCTAGCGGCCTGCTGCTCTGATCGATAGTTTTCCGTGGATCATCCGATAAACACCAAGCGAACGCTGGAGCAGTACCCTAACAAACGGGCCACAGACCGCGCGCTTTCCTGCCTCTTCCTTGTCCCATCCTCTCCCCTTGCTTCCACGCACTTATCCTTACATGCAGCACACTACCACACATGACAGGAGATCGGTCGAGAGCTTGTCCCGGCTGGCGCGGTGCCCAGTTGGTGGGAGATACCTCGTTGAGGGAAACCCCGTAAGCCGATTGTAGGTCGGTTCCGGATTTCACCACCCGGGGGGGGGGAGATCACCGCCACATCCTGCGAAAAATCATGCATTTTACTTACATTTTAATGACCTTAGCAGTTGGCGCGCCCGGAATCATCAATCAATCAATCAATCAATCAATCAGAAGGTTGGTTGCTAAAATTCCCCTTCAGACAGAAACTGAATTCCTAACACCGTAACATTTGACCTGAGTAATGCGCGTTGTATACGGTGATATGTTATGTAAAATTGTTTTATAACATGGGAATTTTATAAAATATAGCTTTCCGGTATAATTTGAAGTTTTATAAAGGTTATATATAAAAAATTCCTTTTTTCTTCAAAGAATTTTAACGCAACAACCAATGCACACGCCGTCGGGAGCAACGCTGCTGGCGAACTCCGTGAAGCTCAAACGGCAACAAACAGCGTAGTCATATTTGCGTCCTGGCGCAGGTTAGGTTCGCTTCCTGGAAAGGCTAAGCAAGCAAGCATCGACTGACGAAAGGTGTTGGTTGTGAGTCGTTGAGAGAAGCGCGCTTTCTGTTGAATATCAGAGGTACCCTCACTTGTAGTATGTTACCGACGTTCTTTTGTATTAATCGTATTGCAAGACAAGAGAACGAAACTGTAATGTTAGTACACAAAATGTCCCACAGATGGCGTGCGATTTTAAGAAAAATTGACTGTGTACAAGTATTTTGTAAAACATTTTATTAAAAAATTTAACTCGTTTTATAAACAATCTGGCCGTTTACAACAGGTATAGCATTTTTTTCTTACCTGCAAAAGTGGTGAAAAAATCATGCCAGACCATGTAGCTTGCCCGGTAGGTAGTGATGCGTGATAAGTGCAATGGCAGTGGCTATGCGTGAGGCAATAGATGTGGGTGATAGGGTGTGATGAGGCAGTAATGTGACAGTAGCTTTGTAAGGTGGCCATGACTGTGTAAGTTGACAGTGACCGTGTGACTGACAGTGGCTGTGTAATATGTAGAGAGGCAGTGTCTTTGTTACGTGACAGTGACTGTGTGATGTGGTAGTGGCTGTGTAAATTGGTAGTGACCGTCTGATGTACTTGTAAGATGAGGCTGAGTGATGCAGCTTTGGCCGTGCGATGTATTATGTGATGGTGTGATGTGGCTGTCTGATCCGGCATTGGCTGTGAGATGTGACTGTGTGATCAGGCAGAGGCTATGTAATGTGGCTGTTGCTGTGTGATGTGTAATGTGAAGGTGCTGTGTGATGTGGCTGTGTGATGTGGCAATGGTCGTGTCATGTGTTATGTAATGATGTGATTTGTAGCTATGTGATCAGACAGAGGCTATGTCATGTGGCTGTGTAATGTGGCAATGGTTGTGTGACGTGGTGTGTTCCAGGCGAGCACCCCGCCGCGATGCAGCGAGGCGGCTGTGCGGGCGGCGGCGGCGGCGGCGGCGGCTGGGCGGCGGCGCTTGGCGGGAGCTGGCGGCCGGCGCGGCGCGGGGGCGTGGGGCCGGTGAAACGCGCGCCGCTACGCCCGCCCCCTCGCCCCTCGCTGTCGCCCCCCGTCCCCCACCCCTTTAGCGCCCCCACTCGGCGGCGTCCACAGGTTGTGCAGGGCCCCCCGCTCGCCGGAGCGGGGTGTCCCCCAAGTGCCACACGGAGGAAGCACTGAACGGCGCTAAGCTGCATTTGCTGCATCACGCCACTCACCCTTCAGTACATGTGCGTTTTCTACGACCGTTTCTTAAATACAATCGATTTCTAAGACTTTTAAATGCCTGTTCCTTTAAAGGGCTTTAGGTGACCGCTCTCGTGCCGGTGATTAGCGCGAGCGACCTCGCGGAGGGGAGGGGAGGAGAAGGGCAGCCCCTCTCGCCCCCACGCCCTGCTCGCCCGCCGCTCGCCGCCGCTCGCCCATTCGCCCGCGCACGACTCTCGGGGAAGCACAAGCAGCGGGCGGATCACCCCCCCCCAACGGGGAGTTCTTGCACAGCCCCCGCGCATGCGCCCTCTCCAATGCAAGTGATCCGTCGAACGCTCACCGGCCATGCGATTTGGAATCTGTCCCCACCTGCGGCGATGGCGGGTGCCGCTAACTCTGTATTCCCATGACGCAACAGCATTCCTCTGTATGTATAATTATCTGTATATACGATATGTTATATTTATTTAATAATATAATAATTATATGTATAGACAAGTAGTTGCTGGGCAGCTCTAGTCAAAGAAATTCAAATGAAGAGGATGTGGCGTTGTGGGAATTAAGCACACCCTCTATCGCCACAGTTGAGGACTTGTTCCATTACGACCTAAACGATGTGCAAAAGCTCTTTTCCCACTCCACACGCTGTGGGTCACGTGGTTGCGCCACGCGACGTGAATCCCTCGCCCCCGCGTTACTAACGGCTTCCCGAGTCGACTCCTCAAAGGCCAAGTATTTCGTTATTTGTTACTCGAATTCAGTGCCATGCAGTTGTCGGCATGGCCTCCCGGTGATGTTGGAACATGGTCGTTGTGACATCGGTTCATCAAGAAACAATACTTCCGCGGAAATTCTATCAACCCGCATTAAATGGCACTATATACTCTACGATATTCGGTTTCGTTCTCGGCGAAGCTTTTGAAGTTTTCTCGTCTTCATGATAACATAATGTGTGTTATTTGCTCCTATACTTCCAGTTGGGAACTTATCGGTTTAAAGAAAAATATTTCCTGGCTCTTTTCCCTTATCGTAACGAACGACGCAAAACCGGACCTCTTCCGCGGGAATCGGCGAACGGCTGCACGAGCCTGAGTGTGGGGTGGAATCGCTTTTATAAACTCAAACTGTTAAGGCGCAGTGACGCTTCGCTACCTGTCTCCTGTGTTCAGTTTCGGAATAAGACACGGGCATTCGGCCTATGCAATTAACTAACATATAACACCCCCCAGTATGTCCAACGGATTTTATGCCGAAATATTTTTACATTATATAAATAACCGCATTTTCCCTTAATCTACGAAACAGAACGCCCTCGTCTCCGCGACTCGTTCTTCGCTTTCGTTCACTGATCTCGCGACGTCGGAGTCGACTCGTCACGATGAGGGATAAGACTAATTTCCTTGTACGGACGTATCAAACGGGAACAATTGCAACTGAAAGCAATAATATCTCTGATAGTTATGGAATCTCTACCTCCACTCCAGTCGAAAGCATTACCCTTGTGCACTTCCCTCTGCATCGTCTTATTTTCGCGACACGTCGGCTGCAGCCCTCGAAGACAGAATCCCTCTTGGTTCTTAGGCTTGCAGAGAGAGACTCGTTAGCTAACAGGGAGACTGGGGAATCGGGATACCGAAGAACGTCATCCTCAGAAATCAAAATTAATTTTACGTTGTTCGCCGTGCCACATTTTCCACGTTTGGTACGCTAATTTCAGGAACAGAATTTTAAGTAGGGTACCTCAGAACAATTGACATTAATCTATGGTATATAGGGGGTCGAAAATAATTAAACAACTACCTAGTAAAATATGGTGAGAATCTCATATTGCACTAGTGCCATTTGCGCCTGGATAATAAGCAACCCGTCTTGCAATAGTGTTTGGCAGACACGCGAAATCTCTTTGACAGCGACAGAAGTGCAGAACGACAGTAAAACGCGGTCGTTTAA